CAAGCCTGTATATTAAGGAGGTTTAGGTTAGTTACAAGTCAGTATATTAAGGAAACTTAGGTTAGTCTGAAGTCTGTATACTAAGCTAATGATTTAATATTCTCTATAATGAAAATATTGATTACTATAAATAACTAAGTATTATAAAAATATACACTAATGGTTTGTTATAATGTTTTTTCACCTGCTGGTTTTACTCATCCTTACATTACAATTTTATTAAATAAATTGATTCTTTTTTTTTTTGTTATTTACAACACAACTAGTTTTGAGTCAACTGGTAGTTTAGTAAACCAAGAATTTTTACACTCGAGTGGCTGGCTCAGTGGGCAGCCATATAGGATGATCATGTTTGGTGACAGGGATTTGAACTCGCAAACCCTCAGATTGTGAGTTGAGAGCCCTAACCACCAGGCTGTGCCAGGCCCAAAGAAATTGGTAGTTGTAGAATGCTTGAATGCACGTGTGATCGTTCAGTTTTCAAAGATAAGGATAGATCAACTCATACTTCTGTTGATGTTACTTAGTGACATTTGTCCGAAACATGTATCTGTATATTTAAAAGGTATGTCTTGTTCTTATTGATAATAACCACTTCAAAACTCAGTTATTCTAATCATTACGTATAGCACCTGTAGTTGTTCAATTTGATAAGAGAGAAGCAAAGATAAATCTTCAAGCAAGCATTATTAATAATCTGTATTACATTTAGAATGTGCAGCAGAGTGAACAGCTTATGGATTAAAAGCTCACCAATCAGATTGTAATTTACAACTTAATATGTCATGTATAAGATGTTGTTTTAAACATTTAGATGCACTTGCTCCATTTGTTGTTGCTTATGAAGAAGTGCTCAGTGGATCTTTCAAGTGCTTTCTTAGTCTTAGTGCTGAACTAGGACCAGAAGTTCAATCACTGGTAAGGAGAATTTGATTTTAAAATTAGTTCAAGTGCTTTGTACAATGTTATTGACAGTTGTCAAGGATTTTCAATTTGGGTTCAAGTACAAAGCTTCTATTTTAACTATGTATTAATCTACATAAGCAAGAGTTGTTAACATATCCTGATATTTTAAAAAAGAGCTAAAGGATGATTATATTGTTAAGTTTCACCTAAAAAAGGGATTTTGCTTACACTATAATTTTCTTTCTAAGTTATTTTTCTGGAAGAATGTTGGAAGTAGTATTCATATTTTATAAGATATGTTTGGAATAATCAACTTGAAGTCACTGAGAGAGATATCCAGTAGTATGTGTGTATCTAAGTTTACTCAGAGAGATATCCAATAGTATGTGTGTCTAAGTTTGCTTGGACAGATATCCAGTAGTATGTGTGTCTAAGTTTACTCGGAGAGATATCCAGTAGTATGTGTGTCTAAGTTTACTCGGAGAGATATCCAGTAGTATGTATGTGTGTCTAAGTTTACTCGGAGAGATATCCAGTAGTATGTGTGTGTCTATGTTTACTCGGAGAGATATCCTGTAGTATGTGTGTGTGTCTAAGTTTACTCGGAGAGATATCCAGTAGTATGTGTGTGTGTCTATGTTTACTCGGAGAGATATCCAGTAGTATGTGTGTGTCTATGTTTACTCGGAGAGATATCCAGTAGTATGTGTGTGTGTCCTAGTTTACTCGGAGACATATCCTGTAGTGTGTGTGTGTGTAAGTTTACTCAAATACTTGAAATAATTTAATAAGAAAAGTTTGATTAGTAAACTGAAACCCATAATATAAAGATAATTTCATTTAGTAAGTGAATTTTTTTTAATGCCAAAGATGAGAATTTTGAGTTTTTGGTAAAAACTTTTTCAATTTCCACAATATATTCAATCTTTCTATTTTGATAATAGTACCTATTCTGTATTTTAGAAAACATAATTTCGGGAGATGCTTTTGAAGTTCTAACATAATATAACAACATAATAAGCTTTATAAAATATCTAATGTAATACTACACTCTGTATTTATAATTTGTTATAAAATGTTTAAGATCATTTACCAATACTTTTTATTAGCTGGAATTCCCCTTGCGTGTATACATTATGAATAAAAACACTGTGCTTCACCCTTCTTATCAGCTGTTGTTGTTTTTTCAGCCTTTACTTGTGCATAAGTTTTAGGCAATTTGATCTTTAGCATTATCTACCAATAAAAATGTATAGAAGCTATTTTATACAAATGATGATTTGTATTAATGTATGTTGATCATTTTTCTATACAAGTGAAACATTATTTAAGGCTTCAGTAAGATATGTACTATAACTTTAACTTCCTCTGTTCAGTAATATGAGTTGTGGTAGTTGGAAGTAAAGTGAGATGTTAAAAGTTATGTTTATCCAAAAACAATGTTTTTCAAGTATTTTACTCTAATATTTTAGGCTAATATTGTAGAATCTGCGGTCAAGGCCCAGAGGACTTTTCTGATCACTGTTTCAAAGGCTAGACAACCTTCGCAGGTAATTATATTTTGTTTTTAGTAGGGTTAGCCTGTAGTGTTAAGAAGGTTCACTTTATTTGGTATTGTAGACGAATGTATACAAAAACTAATGTTTAAAAAAAATACCGGACATTGGAGATTGCATTGTATATGGGAGCTTATGAAATACATCTGTCTCATCAGAATCTGTACCAGATCCTCTTGTATAGGATAACGTAATCCTACTGCTGAAGAGAGGTCAAGATCTTTCTTGCCAGTCAATATTTATCAGTCATCAGCTGGAAATAACAACTTCTTTTTTGGTGGCTAGAGAGCAGATATATCTAAATAAAACTAACATGATCAGACCAGTGGTTTCTAAACTTTCTTTACTGACTAATTTAACTTCGTTTGTACGACACTCCTGCTGCTACATGCAAGATTTTTTTGTAGAGTTTTTCATGTTCTTAATTATTCTTCGTATGATGAAACTCTTGCAACACCTGTAGCAACTTGTCAGAACACACAGTTTGGATTAGACTGTTTCCATTTAACACTGTCCAATGACATCAAGCTTGCTCGACAACTATTTAGAAATTCCTTTTTGCCCTTACACAATTAAAAACCATTCTCTATGTTTGGAATATATCTGTATTTATGTAGGCCCTAATGGTTGTTTATAAACATACTTAACATGAAACAAATCATTGTTTTTCTCATTAGATGATACTAGTAACTGAAAATGATTAAAATAGTGAAACTCCTGTATTTTGTTAGCAGTCTGTTAACGTTTTGGGTGTTTTTTAGTTGAAACACAGTAGAACTGCTTTATAATACAACTTTTTAATGTGCTTGTCTTCCTCCACAAGTAATATTTTAATGGCATTACAATCAAACACGGAATCTTATTACTGCCACAAACTTATAATTCACCTGGAAGTAAACACACGTTTTTTTTCTTATATTTTACGTGATATTTTATTTTTAATGTTAACTTGTTGAATCATTGACTCCGCAGCATCAAGAGTTACAATACATCCAATCCCAAACCCACTATAAATACCTCTTTTTTTATTTTCTCAGTTATGAAATATTTTATTTTTAATGGTAACTTTATCTTCAATAGTCCATAAACACTGTTGTGTCGTACCAGTTTTGGAATGCATGACAGAACTAAAGGATTTCGTTGTCATTGTTATGGATTGTAGTCTTGAAACACTTGCCAATAAGTGTTGTAGCTGTAGTAGTTAAGAAGAATTATGGCTGCTTAGTATGAGCAATGAGATGTTCTTTACTTGTGTCAAATATTGAAATATTATGAGGGATGAACTTCCCAAAAACTGGTATAGCTCAATGATGAGTGGTAAATCAAATGATAGATTGGGCCTAACATTTATTTTTTAGTATGTTAAACAGCTTATTTGCTGAATAGTTCATAAGAATAAATTAGTAGCACCAGTTCTGTATATTCTTGAAATTTCTATATAAATATAGGATTACAGTAAAAGACATCTCAAAACACTGTACGTATCATTTGTAACAGGATCCATAAAATGTAATACTTTATAAAAATTTAAATTTTTGAAAAATGAGACTTATTTGTTATTTTTCATTCACGATTTTAACTAATCATATCTGATAGGATCTGTCCAACTGAACACAAATACTTGATAGGATTTGTCCACCTTAACACAAATACTTGATAGGATCTGTAGCTCCTATCAAGTATTTGTGTTCAGTTGGAAGTATTTGTGTTCAGTTGGACTGTTGCATGTTTTATCTGTATCTCTGATAGTTTGACAATCTCATGATTACATATTCAACCCTATTACAAGGTGAACTGCTACTTAACATGTATTAGTGTTCAGTTGGACAGCTCCTATCATGTATTTGTGTTGAATTGGACAGCTCCTATCAAGTATTTGTGTTAAGTTGGACAGATTCTATCAAGTATTTGTGTTGAATTGGACAGATTCTATCAAGTATTTGTGTTCAGTTGGACAGCTCCTATCAAGTATTTGTGTTCAGTTGGACAGATTCTATCAAGTATTTGTGTTGAATTGGACAGATTCTATCTGGAAATATTTTGAAAACAAATTAATGTTCAAGATCATGTATTAAGTCATCAGAATGGCTGCTGTACCAAGAACATCTGTGATATTCCTCACAAAACCATTTTACCTATAACTTCTTGAAAGCATGTAATCAAGTTTTTTTTATAAAAAAGTACTGAAGACATTAATTTATAAATTGGATTAATTTATACACATTTATCGTTGTTAATCAGAAGTTTGGAAAATGCATTTATCATTGCAGCTAACTTACTTCATATTCAAAATATTTTAGGAACTGAATAAGATCAATGATGAATACAGTTTCAGGTAATTAACAGAATGAGGACACAGCTTTATCAGACAGATAAGCTGCTAAACATAAATATTTTCTCAAAAAGTTCACATCTTTAAAAAGAAATTAACATGAAGCATTACATAGACTGAAGAAAAGGTTTCAAACCAAAACAGATTGTGAAAAACATGAAGACAACATTCTCTAGGTTCAATTCATCTATCGGGCAATTTAGATTTATGACAGGGAGTTCTTGACCAGAGGGGTGTGCCATACAAGTGCCCCCCAGTGGCACAGCGGTATGTCTGCGGACTTACAACGCTAGAAACCGGGTTTCGATACCCATGGTGGGCAGAGCACAGATAGCCCTTGTGTAGCTTTGTGCATAATTAAAAACAAACAAACAAACAAGCCATACAAGTAGGTGGGGAGGTCAAACTTTCTGGGATAGTACAGCAACATTCAGAATACTTCAAGTAATATAACAAATTTTTTATGTTTAAATGTAATTTTCAAATCTGGAAAAATATATATGGTTATTATTGATGTTCCTAAAGTTATTTTCATACCATTCCTTACTTAAAACTAGAAAGCCATACTAAGAAAGACTTTGAATTTAACTAGGTTTCAGTGAATCACTGTGTTCATGCTATACAGTACACAAAATAAATTTGTGTTCAAAAAAAGCATAATCTTACATTTTATGTTTGTGTATATCTTGGGAGAGGAGAAAATTATATATTTCTCATTGGTTCAAAGAAAATAATAACGGATTAAAATAGCCTAATTTTTACAATTAATGTTGGCAAGTTAATATTTCTTCTAATATTAAGTTATTTAGAAATATAAAAAAGTGGTTCAAAAAACAAATCTGGTTCCTACAAAGTATGTAAAATACAATTTTGTGTTATCTGATTACCGTTAGTAAGGGATAACTTTATCAGGTTTGAATGTTTATTACTACATACTTTTACATGACCATAGTTTTGTGAGGTTAAATTTCTAACTAAAACTTCTAACAGTATTGAAGATATTGAAACTTAAAAACAAAGATTTAGGCTAATTAACCCTTTGAGTGCATAATTAAATTTTGGATGGGTTCTTGAAAAGTGCCAATTTTCCAATAAAAATTGAAATTTAGTACTTTTTCAATATCAAAATCCACTAGTTGTGCTTTTGTTCTGTGGCGTAAGCATGTATGGTACTAAAGTAGGAAATTCAAGGATACGCGAGCATCAAGATTGTCGCACTATGAGGAAAAGTGTTTGTGACACCCTGGGTAAATTCGCTTGTGGCACCAAACAGCTGTAAATGTCAAGTTGGATAAGGGTTAATAATGAAGACTTCATTCAGGAGGGCCTGTATCACTTAAACTTATTATAGAATAAAAACAAGTGAAACTTGTGAAATCATAGAGCTGAATATCAGTTAAAACTAAATACATAATACTAAGAAATTTACATTGGAACAAATATGAAATGAGTCTGAAAATAAGAAACCAGATAACCCCAAAACTTTCATGACATAGCCCCTTTCTTTTTCAGGGGTGAAGTGGGAAATTTTAACCCAATATACAACAATCATGCTTGCAAAGCAAACAATAAATCTGTTCAATCCACAATTGAAAATGCCGTACTTAAAAAGATTAAAAACATTAACAGCTATTACAAGCACTATTCTGATAAACAAATGGATTTTACTTTATAATGAAATACTTTAATGGTATGGTAGGCATTATGAGAAGACAGAAACACTAAGAAAAAAACACTTAATCATAAAACTTTACATAACACAAATGTTATATGTTTAAAAAGTAGCACATGCACCTGAAGCTGATTTTTAATTGCCTATATCTTTATAAGTTTACAATCTTGATCCTAACTCACCTGGACAGCTTGGATTTGATCTGATGTTGGTTTCAAGAGGGATATAAGGACATTCTGTGGAAATAAAACAATATTATTAAAAACTTTTAACTTGGAAAAAATATAGATGTACCTTGCTTTTTCACACCCACCAATAAAACTTAGAAAAATTAACTGGTAATTAGGTGGCTCTACCTAACAGAGAATGTTTCTTACTGTATGAATTATCAATTACAAGAAGTATAGAAATAGTGACATCCTTACTAAGTAGAATGTATGTCCAGGTTTATAATATATATACAAAATTTAAATGCACACACATGAACACTATCATGTGTTTATTTCTATAGCTATGTACTGATGATGACTTAATACATGGATCTTGAACATTAATTTCTTTTCAGAATATTTCCATGTACTGATGATGACTTAATACATGATCTTGAACATTAATTTCTTTTCAGAATATTTCCATGTACTGATGATGACTTAATACATGATCTTGAACATTAATTTGTTATCAAAATATTTCCATATACTGATGATGACTTAATACATGATCTTGAACATTAATTTCTTTTCAGAATATTTCCATGTACTGATGATGACTTAATACATGGTTCTTGAATATTAATTTGTTTTCAGAATATTTCCATGTACTGATGATGACTTAATACATGGTTCTTGAACATTAATTTGTTTTCAGAATATTTCCATGTACTGATGATGACTTAATACATGGTTCTTGAACATTAATTTGTTATCAAAACATTTCCATGTACTGATGATGACTTAATACATGGTTCTTGAACATTAATTT